CTGGAGATGGATAAGAAAGCCTACCTTCCCCCCGGGAGCTCACAGTGTGATGCGGGAAAGCCCTGGCACACAGAGTGACAGAACATGGTCACTGCTGGAACACCCCCTGTAAGAGTCCTGAGCACCCACTATGCACCCAGGCTGGATGCTGTGGGTGCGGACGAGGCTGTGCCCTCAAGGGTGGAGTGTCCATGGGGAGGAGAAAATTAACCAGCACAGTGATCATGTCAGAACACTTCCATCATCTCTTAATTCTATACTGCCCTGACTGTGGTGACATGGGACTCCAGGGGCTCTGAGAATTGGGGACCGTGGAAAACTCTGAGTTGGGTGAGCGCCACATGAAATGTGGGCAGAAGTTGAGGGGTCCTGAAGTACTTATGCTGCCAGAAGGAATGTTGCAGGGCAGGTGAGAAAGGCCTCACAGAAAAGGGGCTATCTGAGCTGGGTCTTGAAGCATGAGTAGGAGTTCAAGCAAGAGAGAGGAGACGTGCACTTCAGACAGAAGGGACTCCATGTATAAGAGCAGAGAGGTGTGAGGAAGCACTTGCCAGAGGTTCTGGGGAGAAGTAAGCTGGGGTGGATCCCAGCAGCCTTTTTGAGTTTCTTTTTTTTTTTTAATTTTATTATTCATATGTGCATACAAGGCTTGGGTCATTTCTCCCCCCTGCCCCCACACCCTCCCTTACCACCCACTCCGCCCCTCCCTCTCCACCACCCCTCAATTACCCAGCAGAACTATTTTGCCCTTATTTCTAATTTTGTTGTAGAGAGAGTATAAGCAATAATAGGAAGGAACAAGGGTTTTTGCTGGTTGAGATAAGGATAGCTATACAGGGCATTGACTCACATTGATTTCCTGTGCGTGTGTGTTACCGTCTAAGTTAATTCTTTTTGATTCTTAACCTTTTTCTTAATCCATTTGGTCAGTGGTGGGGCATCTTGGCTGTTTCCATAACTTGGCTATTGTGAATAGTGCCGTAATAAACATGGGTGTGCAGGTGCCTCTGGAGTAACCTGTGTCACAGTCTTTTGGGTATATCCCCAAGAGTGGGATTGCTGGATCAAATGGTAGATCTATATTTAGCTTTTTAAGAAGCCTCCAAATATTTTTCCAGAGTGGTTGTACTAGTTTACATTCCCACCAACAGTGTAAGGGGGTTCCTTTTTCCCTGCATCCTCGCCAACACCTGTTGTTGGTGGTGTTGCTGATGATGGCTATTCTAACAGGGGTGAGGTGGAATCTTAGCGTGGTTTTAATTTGTATTTCCTTTATTGCTAGAGATGGTGAACAGCAGCCTTTTTGGAGCTATGAGTTTGGAGGACTTGTTCCTGGGTAAGGGATCCAATAGATGGCTTTAGGGACGAGGTCAGATAAGGGTTTGTGAAAGCTGTTCCTCTAGGAGACTGGATGAAGAGGGAAGGAGAGTGGCTACATTGTAATTAGAAAAAAAAAAAAAGGAGTGCTGGGCATGGTGTCACATGCCTGTAATCCCAGCTACACAGGAGGCAGATGGGAGGACTGGAGTTTAAGGCCAGCCTAGGCAAAAAAGTTGGCAAGACCCTAACTCAAAAAACAAGGGGAATGTAGTGGTGCATGCCTGTGATCCCAGCTAGGCAGGAGAAAGAGGTAGGAGGATCCAAGTCCCAGGCAGGCCTCAGGCAAAAGTAAAAACCTATCTGACAAATGAACTAAAGCAAAAAGGGCTGGGGCATGGCTCAAGTGGTAGAGCCCCTGCCGAGCAAGCACAAGGGCCTGACTGAATTCAAACCCCAGTACTGTGGGGGGTAGGAGCAAGAGAGAAAGGAACTTGACTTCGGGCCTAACTCTTACCAGCTGGCTCCCCAGCTTCCAATAGCTATAGGACACAGCCATGGCTGCAGCAGAGCAGGGCACCTGGTCTCATCCATCACCCCCGGAGATGGAACAGGAAGGGCCCTTCTTAGGGACAGATCTGTGCTATGCTGAAGTACAGCACTGTGTTCCTGCTGGAGCCATGGGTCAGTGAGGAGGAGATATCAAGACTCCGCGATGACACGGGCTGAGTTGAGAGGTGACGTGGGAGCACACTTGGAGGCTTTGAACACTCAGATGTTAAAGGAGAGACCAGTCGCTCCACCCCTACCACCCTCATATACCTTCCGTTGTCACCTGGAAACTCCCAGAAGCAGATGAGGCTGTAGGGTGAATGGTTTGTTTTTACTTAGGGAGTGACTCCAAGAAGCACTAGTCCCTTGCCGTTGCAAAGTGACACAGGCAAGGAGAGCATTATTGAGTAGGTGACCACTGTGGGCATCCAGGGGCCTCTGGAAGACTGCAGCACACACTTCTGAGCTGTCTGATCCAGGAGCAGGGAGTTTGTCCTTCCACTCCTGACCATCTGTGGCTGGCAGCTGCTCCTAGGGGTACCCGCCCTGAGCTGACAGGGGACACACACACACCTCCTCCTAGCCAGAGAAAGCCCCCTGGTGAAGAGAAAATGGTCTTTTAAGTGTTGAGGTGAGGCTTCAACAGCACCTGCCATCACAAGGGTGCTATCACAATTGGAATATAAACGACTCAGTGACGCACTTACTTGCTTAACTTCTCCCTCCTGGGCTAGAATACAGTCTCTCTCAAGGTAGGGAAGGCATCACCACCATCTCTCCAGGACCTAGCTCAGAGACTCGTGCATGCAGGTGTTCAGTAGGTAGAATAAATGTAACTTTGAGGTTGATAAGTTCATGGGGAAGGCCCCAGTTCTGTCTGAATACTCTCTTTCTCCTCCCTCCTCTCCCCATTCCCTGTAAAGAGCTAGGGCGTAAATACGGGTCTTCCCAGTCAAAAGTCATGTTGAAATTTAATCCCCTTAGGAAATATTAAGAGGTAGGACCAGGTGGGACTTTTTTCAAGAGATCAGGGCTCTGCCATCATAAATGGCTTAATCTAGTCACTCAGTGAATGGACTAATGGGCTAACAGATTATTTTGAAAGTGGATCTGTGATCAAAGCCAGTTTGGCTAGGTGCATTGAGAACTCTCTGTCTCTCACCATGCGATGTCCTGTGCCACCTCAGGATCCTGCCAGCAAGAAGGCCATTACCAGATGCAGCCCCTTGATCTTGGACCAGGATCAAGAACCAGAACAAAAAACTCTTTCCTTCAAAATGTACCCAGTCTGTGGTACTGTGTTATTAGCCACAGAAAGCGGACAGAGTAATAAACGACTCAATGTTTGTCTGTGCTCCTGACTGCCTGGAATACAGGCCACTTTTCCCAGCCCTTCTTAATTGTAGGAGTGTCCATGTGGCTAAACTCTGACCAACAGGTGTGAAATTGATGGGTGTCACTTTTGGGGTATGTCCTTATGGTTCCTTGTGGATCCTTCCTGCTGGCTGGACTTTGGATTTCACGGCTGGAGCTACAGCAGCCAGTTTGGTAGAAGCCTTCAATCAGAGAATTGTGGAAATTAGAAGATCTGGGGACCCTGATGATCACAGAGCTGCTACTCACTCCAACCCTGGACTGAACCTCCTGCCTTGCTTACTCTGTTGTTATCTGGATGAAGTTTTCTGTCACTTGCACCTGAACAAGTGACATACAGAAGGTGACTTCTGGGTGGGGAGGTGGGAGAAATAAGGGACTCTAGGGAGGCTAGGCAGACCTTGCTGGAGAGGAGGGTCTCTTGCTGAATGGAGCCTGGTCTCCTACCCCTGGCGTCTCCCTCCCTGGGTTCAGATGGATCCTGCCTCTGTAGGGACTTTGAGAAGTTCTGCTCTTTCCCAGAAGTACAACTGCTTTCACAAGCTCCCTTTCCCTCTGGAATGGTCCAGACAAGCCCCATGGCAGGTCCAGGGCTGGCCACTGCCACACCCACCCTTCCTCACAGGGGCATCAGGTTCCTTCCCATGCTCCCTTCTCAGTGGCTTCAAGGAAGATAAGACGGTGCCCTCTTCTCATGTCCTTCCCACGCGGCTGTGAGAAGGGACCCCAGAGCCCGGGAAGCTCTCCTGCGGTAAAGGTGGGCGGGAAACGAATAAAACAGAAACACAGGAACAGAGCCGCGCGGTGGCTCACACTTGTAACCTTAGCGACTCAGGAGGCAGAGATCGGGAGGATCGTGGTTCGAAGCCAGCCCAGGCAAATAGTTCACCAGACCCTATCTCGAAAAAAACCCATCACAAAAAAAGGGCAGGCGGAGTGGCTCACGGTGTAGCCCTGAATTCAAGCCCCAGTACGGAAAAGCAACCGCAACAAAAACACAGGAGCCGTCCCAACCACAGGGTACAACTAGAGCTGCTTGGAGGATGGGCTGCCAAGCTTTGAGAAGCTTCAAGAAAGACAGACCCCAGCCTCAATCCTGTAATTCCCAAGGTTCACAGGTGGAGCGGAACCTGTAGACCCTCCATTGGTCCATTTGTCCTTGTCTTTCCACTCACATCCCCCCAGCCTTGGTGGTCCAGGACCTGCCATAAGCACAGAGCCTGGGAAGGAGGAGACTTGGGAAGGGAGTAACCCTGCTGGATGGATCTTTCTTTCCAGTCCCTCGGAGCTTTGGGAACACATTTTCTGGGAGAAGTCTGGCAGGTGGAGTGACCTTGGAACAGTCCCATCGGCTCAGAGACCTCAGTTTCCTTTAGGGGGCACTCTGATAGGCGAGTGGCTTTCCTTAGCCTGGAACCTGGAGGAGATCGGGTTGGGGTGCGGGGGTGGGAGGCGGGCCCGGCTGGTGGCTGACAGTCGGCCAAGCGCACCGCGGGCGCTCAGAGCTGGTGGCCAGCTGGGCTCCTGCGCTTGCTAAACCCGAGTGGCGCTCGCGGGGAGCGCAGCGCGGGGTCCATCCCGGCCCGGGACGCGGGACGCGGGCAGCGGGGCGGAGGACAGCGGACCCCGCCCGGTCCCTCCCGCAGGCGGGGCGGCCCCGCTCCTGCTCCTCCCCCGGCGCCCGCCGCCCTCCGGGGATCAGTCTCCGCGCGCGGTTCCGCAGGTGGCAGTGATGGCCCAGTCCTGAGCGCCCCGCCATGGCCGGCGCCCCCAGCGCGCTGCGCCTGGCGCTCCTGCTGCTCGGGGCGGTGGGCAGGGCCGGCCCCCGCCCCCAGGTGAGACCTGGGGACCCCGGCGGGAAGGGGAGGGGACGCGGCTGCGGGCGCGGGGTCTCGCCAGGGGCCCCAGGACTTGAGCGAAACTCCAAGACCGCAGGCGGGGGGATACGACAGCCCCCGGGGGAATCGGGACTGTAGAGTTGGGTGGTCCAGCTGTGACTGGGACAGGGGGCGACTCCCTCCACTCTGGAGAGGCGCCCATGTCCCCTCCACCCCGGCCCCTCTGCTAGGACACCAGCTGCCCGGCGGCCGCCCTGCGCTGACTTGTGCGCCGCACCTCTGCCCTTCCCAAACCACTTTCCCAACTCCTTCTCCTCCCAAGCGGTGCCCGCTTCCCTGGCACGGCCCAGCTGGCCGGCCTCCCCAGGCCCCGCAGTGCCCAGGACCCCTCGCCTGCGGGGCCTCGCCCTACACTCGCGTCCTCTGTCAAAAGGCTCGGGAGCGCGCCGAGGGGGCCGGAATGTGGACACCCAGCACTGTTACTCCACCAGCTTCCCAGCGCAGGCTTGACTCATAGCCCCAGGGACCCTGCGGTGGCAGCTTGTTGTCCTTCCTAGTGACCTCCTAGAAGGAACTTGGGTGTCAACCCTCTCCAGCCCCTGCAGCAAACATGAGAAAGACTCAAGGCTCCTCCAGAGGCAGCCAGGCCCCCTCACACACTCTGCTGACACCTTCTGATTCCCCCAATTGACAGCCCACACCAGAAGGGACACACAGGAACACCGGGCCTCCTTGGTGCTCCCAGAGAGCAGGCTGCAGGTGGACCCCTGCAGCCGCCCTCCTCCTGGCAATCTGCCTTTCCTGCCTCAGGCTCCTGCCCTGGGGCTTGCTTGGACAGAGAGGAGCCAGGCTGTGGTGATCTGGCTTGGGACTGAGAACAAACATCTCCTCCCACTCTTAGCCCCAGACGAAAGAATTTAGCTCTGCATAGACCTTGAAATTTGTCCCAGCACAGGTGAGAGACAGGATAGGGGCCCATAGCATCTGACTGAGAATCCAGATGTGGACTGATGTGCCTCTTAACCAAGGGACTAGCACCTTTTCAGCCCCCAAATCCTTTTCCAGACTCATTCTGTCCCTTTCCTGTTGCTCAACTATTGCCCCAGTCCAGAGCCCATGGGACCATCTCTCCTGACTCCCCAGCAGGCCAAGACTTTCCTGGTGACATTGGGATATTTCTAGGCCACAACTGCAGATCCACTGCCCAGCGCTCTCATCCCTAAGTCCTCTGCAGGGCTGGGAGGGATCTGCCTGCTGGTCCTACACTGCTGTGGTCCAAGTTTGCAAATCTGGTTGGGATTAGGGAAAGAGAGCAAAGGGAAGACCAAAGGCTCTGGAGCTGCCTGTCTTCTCCCTCAAGCCCCTTTTTCCAGAAGTGTCAGGCCCCTCAAACTCCCCCTTCCTCAGGTCCCCCTCACTTCTCCGACCTCAGGACAGAAGGCAAGATTTGAGGGGGATGGGTTTACTGCGGGGCACTGGCATCCCTGGCTACCACAGAGATGTGACAGGCGACTTTGAGGTTAGATTGTAATAATTTCAACAAAACCTCACACATGTAGACAAGACTCTAACAAATAAATTTGCCTTTTATTTTCTGTCTATGAGGTCAGCAAGATTTGAGTTACTCCTTTCATGTCACTGATGGGAAAAAAAGGTCCCCTGTTTAAAAAAAAAAAAAAGAAGAAGAAGAAGAAGAAGAAGAAGGTGGCCCTGCAGTTCAGGAACAGGGAGGCAAAGGGGTGGGGGCTGGGCTGTTGGCTGCATACCCTCCCTCTCAGGTGCGTCTGAGGAATTAATTGCTAAGAAAGCAGCTGACTGGCAGGTCTGGAGGGGCAGGGAGGGGATGCTTCCCCGCAGGTAGGGATGGCCAAATTGACTTCTGAGAAAGGTGGCCTTAGCCACTCTTTCGTGATCAGTGAGAAGGATCATTCCTCTCCCTGTTCCTTACCACCCCAGGACCCCTCATGAAGGAGCTGGTCTACAAGAAGACAGGCAAGCCTTTGACACCACTTAAAACCACATGGTGCAGGGTACATATGTCGGGTCTGCTCAAAGCTGGTGATCTTGGGTATGACACTTGACCAGCCCAAACCTTGGTTTCCTCATCTGTAAATAGGGATCACTGGCTCCATCATATAGGGACAAAGAGGGGATGAAGGCATTGGCACCTTAAAATGGCAGCTTCAATCCCTTGGGGAAACTGGCTCATTTGTCTTCAGAAACTTGGCAAGTGCCCTGGGCTGCAGCATAGGACCTAGAATGGTACTATTGAAGGCCCCAGCCTCTGCCCTCCAGCAAAGGTAATAGAGGCCAGGGCTGTGTATGGTCAGTGTGGACTTTGTCCTGTGCTGGGCTCTCTCCTGGATGTGGACCTAGCCAGACAGGAGCAGCTGAGAAACTACATCCTGCCCTCAAATGCCCGCACTGAGGAAAACCAGGCCTTCCTGAGCTGCAGCCTGTCCCTGGGCAGATTCCTGTGTGTCTGCGTGCGTGTGCGTGTGCGTGTGCGTGTGTGTGTGTGTGTGTGTGAAATAAAGGGAGATACGGAATAGAGGCAGAGAAACAGATTGGGGAGAGGGATGCAGACTGTATGAAACCCCATTTCTCTGTGTTTTTGTATGTGATCCTGTGTGTGAAAGTCTGCCTGGAGGGGAGTCACTAGGTGTACAACATCTCAGCATGTGTGTCTGACAGTGTGTGTTTGTGACCCTGTTTGTGGGACTATGCCTTTGCGGGGTGGGGGAGGGGGTGGTAAACTTGGAGTGTGTGTGACAGCCTGGTGAATGAATGGGTATCTGCTGGTATGTGTCTGTTCGGGGGGTGACAGTGTGCTTGTGACAGTGTGTGTGTGACACTGTGAGTCAAGTCTAGCAATCAGGAGTTTGGGTGTGTACACATGCGTGTTGGGGCAGTGTTTCAGCATGTGAGTGTGTGTCTGGCTGTCTGTGAAGTTGTGTCAGGGGGAGAACATTTCATGTCAGGGTCTCAGAGCTAGGAATGTCCTTAATGATGTGTATGGTTGATGTGTGACTGTGTATCATGGGAAGGCTCCTTAGCCTGTGAAGTGTGTACAGTTGCCCTTCCCTGCCCTTCTATTCAGATATCTAAAGCCCTTAAGAAAAAAAAAGAGGGGACAAAGAGGTAGGGGTCTGTGCCCCACCCCCCAGGGCAAAGTGATGGAAGACAGGGTTCAGGCTCTGGCAAGTGGCAGGCAGGAAGGCTAGGAGTCCTAAAAGGCCAGACCTGTTGGGGCCTCAAGAAATTTGTCTTTTGAGCCCTTGTTGCTTTTTCTGAGAGGCCCTTCCTCCCTCCTCAGTGGTCCAGAGAGGCCACTGAGGTCTCCTTCCTCCTTCCTCTCAACCCTAATGGTTTCTAGAAGAAGAAAGAATTCGGTCCCTGTAGTCACATGGAGAGGTGGCAAGGCCTTTCCCAGTTGCAGTCAGGCTGTGGAGCGAGAGTAGTACCTTCCCCAGGTGTGGGGAAAACCTACCACCTGGAGAGTTTGCTCTCCGTCCGCCTCCTCTTCTTCCTCTAACACTGTCCTCTTGTGTAGGGCTTGACAAGTCAGAGATATTCACCTGCTTCATGTCAGTAACTCTGAAAAGAAAGATATGCCCCAACTTTCTAGATGAGAAAACAGACCTAAAAGGATAGAATGTGAGCAGACAAGAGCTGGGATATAAAGGAAGGACCTTTGACTCCCTATCTAGTGCTCTTCCCTGTAGACCCATCCATTCCCTCCTAATGTTCGCTTTCTCACCTTGTGTTTCTTCTTGAAACTCCTGAACCTTAGTGATGCCCTCTCATTGTCACCTCCAACTCGGGCATTGCCCCCGCTGGCCTTCATCTTCCTCAAAGTGAGTCCATGAAGCCTAAAAGTCCTGTTCTAAAAACTGCCAGCCTGCCCTTACTCTGACCCCTGAGTCCCTACCCTACCCCACTGTCCTGTCTGACCAGTGCTGCTGCCCCAGGACAACTGCCTCCAGACTTGACACAGGGACTCAGATTATGGGAGGATGAAGTGGGAGGTGGGTGGTAGATAGGACCTTGCACCTCTTCACAGAGCCAAGGTCCCTGCCTCTCCCCATCCCACCTCACTTTGCCATTGGCTGCAGTGCTGCTGCTGATGTCACAAATAAGTAGAATGACTGGACCTTGGGTCTGGTGGTTTCCTCCTTCTGGTTGTTTGTTGATCCTAGAAGTGAGGAGAGGTGGGGCCCAGGAAGCCAGGCCTCCTGCCCTCCTCTCAACAGCAGGGGACTGAGCCCTTTCCATGTGCCAGGGGATGTTCTAAGCATTAACTCAGTCCTCATGACTACCCTGTGGGGAAGATGCTCTTATCATTCCCATTCTGCACATGGGCAAGCTGAGGCTACAAGCTAAACTTGCACAACCAGATTAATTTATGGACAGCCCCAGAATCAGACCCAGATCTGAGCCCAAAACTAGGGCTGTTCACCCTTCACTGTGTCTTGTCACCTGGACTCTGTGGTCTATGGCATCAGGTGGCCCCATCCTCACTTACCTAACCCTGTCCTGATCATAGCCTCCTACCTGTACCACCATTCTCTCCTGCCCCAGAAAATCCCCTAGACACGAATGTTCCCACCTCTACATCTTTGTCCTTACTGTGCCCTCCTGCTGAAACATCTCCACCCTTGTTATTAACCCAGCCTCCCCACCCTCCTTCACCCCACCTCTACCTCACAGTCTCCAAAGAGCCCAACACCTATCAGGTCTACACTGAGACCTGCCCTAAACACTCCTGAGTGCTTTATCCACTTGATTGTGTCACTTGTCCCACAAAGCATTTGACCCAAGCCCCAAGCAACCCAAAGACTCTTTCAGGTCAGGCCAGGCTCTGCCATCATCTCTGAATTCCTCCTGTCCCCTCCACCCACCACCACCCAGAACCTGGCACGTATGACTTCCCATGAAAACCAAGTGTGGGAGGGGCCAGAGATCTAGGTAGTTTGTCCTGCATGTGTGTGGAGCACGGGTGGAAATGTCACAGTGAAACACCCTCGTAGCCATCTTAAACAAACAAAAGTGTCATTTAAAAATTCTTTTACAAAAATGGAGTACAGAAAAGCAAAACAGGTCCTGTCTGGGGGGTTGGTACCAGTGAGCAGGGGGAGGATATAAGGAAAGGGTGTGGGAGAGTGAATGTGGTAGAAATGTTCTGCCCTCATGTATGAAAATTTAAGGCCTGTTGAAACTGTCCCAGGAATGAGGGAGGGGGATAAAGGAGAATGGTGGAGGGGGTGAATTCAGCTATGATACATTGTAAGAAATTTTGTAAATGTGACAATGTACTCCCAGTATAATAATATAAAAATAAATTATATATATAATAATAAATAATATAAAAATATTATATTATTATATATTATATTATATATTATAATATATATAATATAAAAATAAATTATATAAATATATATATATTTTTTTTTTTTTTTTTTTTTTGGAGATCCTGAGTGAGAAAGAGATGCAGCCCTGCCTCAGGGAGCCCCAGTCCTGGGGAGAAACAGCCCTGTCCTCAGGGGTCCTTATCCCTCCCTGGCTGGACACCGCTGGCCCAGTTCTCAGCAGAGGCCTATCTTCCTGAATATTTTCCTCCTAGAAATAGAAACCAGGGGGATTTCTCCCCATCTCTCCAGTTCCACCCACCCACTAGCAGCTGGGCCTTCAGGGAGAAGAGGGGAGGGGTAAAGGGGAGATGGTGAAGGGGGTGAGGTACAGTGGCTGTCCATCAGGCCTTACTCTGGTGAAAAACTGTGCTACCCTCCCAGCTGTGGCTGATACAAGACATCACCTTTGTTGTTAGTACACTTGATTTCCTTTTCTTATTTTTCCCTCCAAATGCAGTTGACCTTTGCCCTCAGAAGAGCACTATCCTTCGGGGCAGCCCCACCAACCACTCCAGGAGTGTTGTGGGACTCAGAGGTTGCCTGGCTCCTTCTGGAACTTTCTATGTGGCTAGGGTCAGGCACAGGACGACCCATGTCTTTGTTTGGCGGTATCTCATGAGCCAGGCCTCTGCTCAAACCAGAGTAGGATTACCAGAAACTGGATCCAGTGTGTGCTGGGGGTACTGGGAGTCAGGAATGCCAGCTTCTGAACAGAGGCCATGTTAATTTTAATTTCAGCTCCTGTGTATCTCTTTGATTTCAGAAAGTGGACTCTTGCTTTATATTATGTATAAACCCTAAATTTTATGTAAGGGGCTCTCTGGTCATTTTGACAACTGCAGCTTCTAAATGAGCAATATTATTATCGTTAAGGCTGTTGAGGAAACAAATGAAAACAAAAAAGAACCACAGCCCAAAACATAGCCAAAGAAGGAGCACAGAAACGTGTAGAAGGTTGTGCTTGGTAGAGAGGGCTCTTTGGGGCTGTGTGCTCAAAAGCCAATTCTGTTATCTTATCTGGAAGTCGAGGTTCATGTTCCCCCCTTGCAGGTAGGAGGTCCCTTCCCATTGCTGGCAGGACTTCAGTGTTCTGGAACCTTTCTGATCCCTGCCCCATGTCCTCAGGCCTCCTCCTCCTGTGGATGGAAACCAGGCTGCATATTGGGTCTGTGCTGTGTTAGTGTTCACCAGGGGTCCGCTGCCTTCTAGGGCAGTGGTTGGGTGTGGCAGGAGGGATGCTAGAGGTGGTAGTACTGAATGTCACCTCACCCACCCCCCTCGGTGCTCTGTCATAGCACTGAGCTGGGCGACTCCATGGCCTAGTCTTAGCTCTGCTTCCTGAGGCACCGTGGGCCCTTGATTGAGTCCCTCTCCCACTCTGGCCATGTGTCCTCTTCTACATGGTTGAAGGCCCCGGCAGGCTGAGCAGGCCATGATGAAGCCCTGGCCTCAGGAAGTCTGTCCTAGGTGAGGGCAGACAGACCATGAATGAGTCACACGCTCTCCACTCCCCCTTCACCCACCCTGGAAAGCATCAATTCCTCAGACATTTGCTGGCCACCTACTACACATCAAGCCATGCACAGTCCCCTGGGAGGGACAGTGTACAAAGGCTTGTTCTTACTCCCTTTTTAGGGTGGCCAATGCCTGGTTGGGTTTGGGGATCTAAGGTCCCTGGAGATCAAGAGACCAAGAGGGCCAGGGTGAGGGAGTACAAAAGGAGCGAGCTGGACCCACAGGGCTCCCATTTCTGCCCTTCCCCACAGGGTGCCACCGTGTCCCTCTCAGAGACGGTGCAGAAATGGCGAGAGTACCGACGCCAGTGCCAGCGCTTCCTGATTGAGGCTCCACCTCCGGCTACAGGTGAGTCTAGGTGGGGCCCTCACCCTCAGTGCTCCCACCCAGACAACTCCCAGAAGGCTCTGATGAATTGTGGCTGGGTGCCATTTCCCTCTCTGAGACACCACCCTCTCTGAGCCTCCATCTCTTTGTCCAAACCATCCTCTCACCTGAATGCCTTCCCAAACTTCGTAGGTTCTTCAAGTTCAACTCAGGCACCTCCCTCCCCAGGGAAACACTGTCATCTTCAGCCTTACCTGTTCGCCTGCAGGCACCTTTAGAGGTGCTGTCTTATCTCCCACCCACTAGCCCCAGCTTGAGTCCAAGGACCCAGACTTTCCATTTGTGTCCTACTCAGCCCCTCCCAGGCCTAACAAACACATTTATAAGAATAAATCTTTCAGGGAATTTGCGGGGGATGGGACGGCGGTAAAAGAGGTCAAGATTGGAGCCAGGTGGGTCTGGCTTTAAATCCTGACTCTGATCAAACACAGTAACCTGAGAAAGGCTTCCTCATCCTCAGGAGCCATTTCCCTCTGGATTATTTGAAAGTGAGCCTGTAGGAAGAGTTTATTGAGCACTTACTGTGTTCAATTAGTCATATAACACCTTTATCCCCACAAAGCCCTGTGGGGCAGAAGATACCCACATTGTTCAGAGGAGGACCCAGAAATTTAAGTAACTTGTTCAACGTCACACCTCGATAGGTGGTATATTCTTTGGCTTGGCCCCTGCTGAGTGTAGAAAGTGCTCTGGCAGACAGTAAGTGCTCAGCAGAGGTTAATGGAGCATATGCAGCCCCAGAGCCTCAGTGGTGGGGAGGGGAGAGGGAAGAGAACAGGAGGAGCCATGGCCAGTCATAGGCAGGGACTCAAAAACTTCCTGCTACCCACAGGCCTATTCTGCAACCGGACCTTTGATGACTACGCCTGCTGGCCAGATGGGTCTCCAGGTTCCTTTGTGAATGTCAGCTGCCCCTGGTACCTGCCCTGGGCCAGCAGCGGTGAGTGTTGCTTCCCTGTATCCAAGAGGCTAGGGCAAGAGGGGGCGCTGCTTCCCTTCCTCTGAGACAGCCCCAGAATGTCCCCAGGCCTCCTAGTGAATGGTCTGCCTTCAGCAGTGCCAGGTATCAGGAGGGCTGAAGTGGGTCTGGGCCTGAGGCCTGTACTGGCAGGTGTGGTAGGAAGTATGGGTCCTACTTAAGGGTGGGTCTGGTAGTCAGGGGAGCCAGGTGGGAAGAGATCCTGGGCTCTAAGGGGACACCAGGGTGCCATTGCTCTCATGTATGTGTGTATGTATAAGGGGAGACTTATACCTGGGAGTGACACCTATCCACTTCCTGACTCTTTAGGAGCTCATGGGGAACAGTGTGATCAGGGAATTGATGGGGTGGCAGCTCGTCGTGCTGTCAGGGAGACCCTGCACTGGGAAAGGAGTGACTGGTAGGTGGAAGGTTCACTCCGTACAGTGCCCTACAGGGGCTGTGCGGGCCCCCGAACAGAGAGGCAATAATTACTATGCCTTTCTCCTTTCTCCTAGCATCCTGTGCTGGGTCCTGTAGGGGATCACAGGAGACAGGCACCCGTGCCACAAGGAGTCACAGACCCTATGAGGGAGAAAAGCTACTTCGTGTAGTAACAATAGTTAATATCTATCAATAGTTAATATCAAGTCCTGCCCTAAAAGCAGGGCATCCAGTTCATCTTTACAACTACCTTTGGTCATGTCTTGAAGGGCCTGAACCCAAGCAGAAACCAGTCCATAAGCAAGAGTGAGAATGAGGTCAGGCTGTGGGGAAGTCTTCCTGGAGGAGATGGCCTGGCAGGACCTGACATACCCTTTCCTTAAGCATGAGAGATGGAGAGCAGATGAAACCCAGGCTGGTCTCCTAAGGAGACTGTGCCCACTGCTCCCTGAGCTGCACAGGGGGAGTTGGGACCCAGAAAGAGGCAGGTATCTGGGGAAGACCCCCAGTGGATGGGGAGCCCTTCACACTGCATCCTCTGCCATGACCTATTGTCAGCACTTTACTTCTGCCAACCATCCTCAGAAGCAGGAACTCCAAAGCCTTTCACTTTCATGTGAGAAAACTGAGACACAGAGAGGCTAAGTGACCTTTCCAAGTTCACACAGCTAGTGAACTACAGACGTGGGAATCTGCCCAGGAGGCTGGGTTAGACCCTTTAATTGCTACGCCAGCCTTCCTCAGGTAGTAGGAGCAGAGTTGTGTAACATGGCTCTCACCCAGAGACCGGTGAGTGGCATGGAGACCCCTGCTGGCTGGTGTATCCTAGGAAAGGTGGTGAGCACCTGCCATCTCTCTCTGAGCCCTGCACCCTAGTGGTGCTGCTCATGGATGGCTTAGTGGGCAGGTACAAGTTCCCAGGCCTCTCTGAGCCTTGGTTTGCTTACTTGGGAGCTGGGATGGAGCCAGGTGACGTGGGTGTGGGAGGGGTGCAGGTCCTTGAAGAAATGAAGGCTGTTAATTTTCCCAGCTGCCTTACGTAACTCCCTGCCCTCCCACATCGCACACATGTTCCCTGTCTGTCAAAGATTTGGGATCTCTGCTGGGCCAGCCTCTCTGGGCCTCTAGACCCCAGGGAGCCAGGCGCGGGACAGGGCCCATCACTCAGTGCTAAGCGCCCCCAGCTCTGCCTGCCGCTTGCGGCTCCATCCATCACCTTTAATTTTATTTGAGCAGGAAATAGGTCCTGGCGGTGCCCGTTTATGAGCGAACATGGTTTTATTGCTTTCTCCATGAAGATAACGGCCTCTGCACAGGCCCCCTGCTAGCCTCCTCCCCTCCCTGCTCCCCAGGCTAATTCACTCCCTTTTTTGACACTTAGAATCGCCTACCCTGCCTGTCCTCTCCCTGAGTTAGGGACCCACAGAGCCACACACATAACTGCCTGGTCTGGAGCTCCCCTGACAGAGGCTGACACCAGGGATCCCTGGCCCCACCAGAGTTGTGGCAGAAAGGGGATGGGAAGGGGGCTGTTCTTCAGCTTTCTTGAATTGACCCAAGGAGTTGCCTGTGGAGAAACTTGCCAGGGTGAGCTAGGGACAGGGAGAAGGAGAGCATTGTCTCTGGTGATCCCAGGGAATCTAGAGAGAATTTAATGGAGGGTCCCTTACAGAGGCTGGGGGAGGGAGGGCTGAGGGACCAATAATGTAAATGAAGCAGCAAAGACCGTAGCAGTGGAAAGCCTAGCACCTCTAGACCTGACAAGCAAGAGGCAGGAATGGGGCTGGGGTCCCCATGACAGTTGGGGCTCTGATGGAGAGGCCACCAGCAGGGCTGTGGCCAGTAGAGAGCCAAAGCTGGGGCCAGAACCTCAGAACCCACCCTCAAGGAAGGAGCAGGGGTAAATACTCAGCCTCTCTCCCTTGGCCTTGGTGTCTGTCTTCTGCTACTGCCTCCCACTGGCCAAACCCTGTAGAGCACAGGGAGCTCTACAGCATGCAGAAGACTGGGTGATTTTAGAAAGAATTTAATTCCAAACAATGATCAGAGCTGAGCTAAATCTTTGTCGGGAGCATCTGAGCCCTTAGGTGTGCGTGGCATGCAAGGGAGAAGGATGACCTTTACCATGGTGTTGGCAGCACATGTATAGGTACTGAGGGAGGTCAGAACCATCTTCTGCTTGGGATGTGGCATTGGGAAGGCCTCCAGGGACAGGTGACATTGGAACCAGGCCTGAAAGAACAGGCAGATGCAGAAGGGAAGAGGCAGGCACTCCACGGAGAAAGGACATTCAGGAGTCACATTGGACAGGGGGCCACCAGGCTTCAGGCCTGGGAGCTATGCAATGTCCCAGGGAAGCCAGCCAAGCCCTTGTTATCTGACCCCTTAACTGAAGACTTGGAACTCTGAATGGTGAAGAGAGGGCAGGAGGAGATGAGCGGAAGCAGGACAAGACTGGCAGGAAGAGTCTGGTGTACACAAGACTGTGAGGAGGAGGCCCCAGTGGCTCCAGAGCCCGTCAGCTGCCTGAGGGCCCTTCACCTGCCTGGCTTACCCACCAGCAGCTGATCTGCTCACGTTACAAATCATTCCAGCCTCATTAGCTGCCCCTCTCCTGGTTCCTACCTGTTTGTTAGCTTAGTTCTAATTATACGAGAGTCATAAAATGCTTTTAAAATAGCCTGTAATTCACAATTCTTGGAAACTCTGGCAGGCACCTCCCCTGAGTAACGTTGAGCCTGGGAGCTTTTACAGCAAGCCAGGGTTGCCAAGGGGAGACTGAGGCCCAAGCTGGGCCCCAAAGGAGCGCTGGCTGAGATGGCATCTTCAGCACCATCTCTGGCCTTAGTGGAGGGTGGGGGAAGCAGCAGGGTCTCCATGGTGACCATGTTTTAAAGGCCTGCTCTATACCAGGCACTTAACATGCTTTATCTCCTGGGAATTTTACAGCTAAGGAAACTGAGACAGAGAAGGTGAAATGACCCACCCAAGGTGCCACAGCTGGTTGAGAGCAGAACTAGGATTTGAACTTGGGCTCCTTCTCCAAGGCCCTGACACTCTACACCACCCTGCATTCCCCTCCTACTCCACCCAGAGCTGGTGCCTTCATTTTCATCCTACATTCGACCCCCATCCCGCCACTTTGGGAAGGGTTAGTGTCAGCCTCCCTAAGTCTCACCATCCCCATCTGTAAAATGGGGCCCATGGTCCTTGCTAGCTGCCTCTGTTGCCAGGGCACAGGAGCTAATGGACTCCCAAGCAGCTCTCCAGAGTCCTGAGTGCCTGCATCCACGTGGAATGGCGCTCTTAGCTTGATTACAGACACTGTGGCAGCTTCCGGGAGGGGAAGTGTTTAATTGGGGTTTTATTTCCAGCACTAGGGTCTGTCTTAATGAAATATCCCTGGGCCTCCTGGCATGCAGCCGCTGAGTTGCCTCCTTGTGTTGACAAGATGAGCCAAGCCCCTGGCTGTGATTGGCCAGCTCCTCCCAGGCCAGCTAAAGCTGGGCTGATGAGCAGGTTTTTGCCCAGACCACCCTACCTCCAACCAAGACGGGTGCCTGGGGACCATGAGCTCAGCCAGGAACCAGCCCAGGCTGGCTGAGCTTCTCAGGACATGGTGATCCCTTGACTTTGTTCCGGAAGGGCACGTTCGTGTGCACACACCTCCTCCCCAACCCCAGCTGGCCCGGGACAGAGGCCCCAGAATGTTGCAGGCTGCCTGGGGTCCGTGTGAGCAAGAAGACCTACTGGGAGGCGTTGCATGTCAGGAAGTCCAAATCTAGAGGAAGGGCAGAGGAGAAATGGCACATGGCCATTGTTGACTGTTAGAAGCAAGTTTGGCCTCTAACTTTTGGCCTCTGGAGGCAAAAAGCCAGGAGTTAGAGTCCTGACTCTGCTACTTCCTAACTAGATGATCTTGGGCAAATCACTTGGTTTTTTAGAGCCTCAGCTTCTTTATCTGTAAAAATAAATTTAACTGTGCCTATCTTGAAAGGTAGTTACAATGTGCAAAGGTGTCATGGGTACAGCAGGTGTTCAAAAACTGATTCTGCAAATGCACAGCCTATGGAGAGGGTATGTATGAAGCATTTAGGGAGGAAACCTGCAATTGTGGGGTGCCCACTGTATGCCAGGCCCTGCGTTAGCCGTGGGAAGTCATGCTGCTGTGGACTGGTGGTTTATGCAATGGGGACGCCCTTTCTGTGTCCTCTCTTACCCTGGCCCCCCAGCCTCTCTCTTTCATCCCATCCAGACCAGCTGCCAAAATAGGCTCTGACACCAGTTTCATTCCCCACAGGGTCAGTTCAGGTCCCCATTGCTACTCTTGGAGACTCTATAGCCAAGGACTGGTTTTGGGCCTATCAGACTTGACCCGTGGTAAAGAATTTCAGTCATCCACGCAGCAGATAAGAGAGGCATTTGGGGGTCTGAGAGGAGCTCTTTTAAGTTGCTAAGATGAGAAGGGAAGATATACCTCCCCTTATCTGCCCTTGTGTGTGCCTGACTTTGTTCGTAAAAGTACCAGAGGGGTCTCGAGTGCTCAGCCCACTTTTAGTCTCACTGCCAGAAGTTCTGCCATTCGAGTTTCTGTTTTTTGATCTAGGTGAGGTCTATTGAAATGCAAGTTCTTCCAGAAATAGTAACGCTGCAGGTGATTTGCCTACTGTATACACAGATAAACCTCTATCTCCTGAAGAGGAACCTAGTCCAGGGTTTGTTCATGAAAGGAGGAGAGAAGAAGGAAAGAGCAGGGAGGCTGCCCACCCTGCTCACCAGGGGTGATGGGTGACAGGGTGGGTGTTAGGGAAGGGCAAGGTCCAAGCAGAGGCCGGCTACTGCATGATAGTGCTGGAGGAGGGCTGTCACAGGGCCTGCCATAAAGGTCTCTCTGCCTTATAACAACCATCTTGGAATCTGTACTAGAAGATTCCACCTTGGGGACCCCTAAGGGGTGGGCTCTGGGCTGCCCACACTCCCCAGCAGCACACTTGCTAGTCAGCTTCTTTTGATGCTAATCTCCCTACCTGAACACTGACCTGCCACTGCCACCCAGGGCCTCTGTGGCCCCATTCTCTCCCTCCCTCACACTGTGCCTGCCTCCCACAGCCCAGAACCTGGTCTTTAAAGTCTTTTACCTCTTTTTAAAGAATTTAAAATCTTTTAAAATGTGTTCCAAACTCCAACTTCCCACCTGATCCCACTATGGCAATCCCATCTCCCTTTTGTTCTCTGTCCCAGGTTGCCACATTCAGTTCTTCTATGGGGAGCTAGTGAATGAGGCACTTCCTTCTAAATACAAGTGCCCGCTCCCCTTATCTCACATTAAGCCGGGGACACAGACACGCCTCTCCCTGAGCAGGTGGACAGTGGGGCATGGTGTATGTTTGGGGATGGGAGGGTCTGCCATTGCACCCAGATGTCAAGGTGGGTGCAAATGACAACAGGCCACGTCCCATCCACAGCTCTGCTGGGCCTGTGTTTGATCCCTGCTGGTTTGCTTTTATGCTATTCCTTTCTGAGAACTTTCTGTTTTTCCTGTGAGAGTTTTGATTCCCTGACCAGAGACTGTGCCTCCTCCCTCAGGCAGTGAGCCCCTGAGGGCAGGGCCTGGATTCTTCCCTTCTCAGAGCAGAAGGTCTCTTACTTGGAGATAGAAGCTTTGTCTTCCCCTTTGAAGGGAGAATAGCCGAGGGCAAAGACTGTGTCTACACCAGAACACTAGGACGTGTGGTCTCTGAAGGGAAGTTTGTGTGTCCTCCATCAGACTGGGGCTCCCTGAGCACAGGGCCGTGTCTCCCTCAGATTGGGGCTCCCTGAGGACAGAGCTGTGTCTCCCTCAGCCTAGGGCTCCCTGAAGTAGGGCCTGCCTCACTTCCTGTGTCAGGAGTTCGGTGTCAGCTTTGTTCTTAGAGTCCATTCTCCCTAAGGAGTGTGAGAGAGAGAAGGCTGGGAGCCCTGAGAATCAGAAATCGTAGAGGGTGCCATTGTCAGGGCTGCTCCTGCTCAGCCCCAGTCCTTGCCAGAAGGATAATTTGAGGCTGGGGACTCCATGGATATAGATTTGTCCATCTGTGTGTCTGGGTAGCCAATAGGAAATGCTGAGGAAAGCTGGGTGACCCTCACCTTAGTGACTCCTTGTCCTATCCCCGGGTCATCATAGTTTATGAAAGGAAGGCCCAGGTGTGTGTGTGTGTGTGTGTGTGTGTGTGTGTGTGTACATGGGACAAGTATGTTCCTAAGTCAGAAGTGTCAGTTCTGCTGCAGCAGAACTGAGGGATGAGGGGCTTCTACCACTGGGTGGGCTGCACATCTCTGGGCCACAGCTCAGCTGACATGTCTCCTCACCACTCAGTGCTTCAGGGTCATGTGTACCGGTTCTGCACAGCAGAGGGCCTCTGGCTGCACAAGGACAATTCCAGCCTGCCCTGGAGGGACCTGTCAGAGTGTGAGGAGTCCAAGCGAGGGGAGAAGGTGAGTGGAGGTGGGGTTCTGAGTCTGGGGGGCACGGGGGATCAGAGACCTGGTTTTTGGTGGGCCTGATATGGTCATGTGCTCCATCCCCCTGTCTCCGGGAATTCCCCTGTCTCCTTGCACAGCACATTCTCTGGGCAAAGGAGGTGTGTGTTTGCCTCTCTGGCCTTGGAACCAGGCCCTAGAAATGCCTGGACCATCTCCATGGGCCATTCTCTTTCTCGGTTCTGGAGGTCCCAGTGGGGACTGACTTGGGACCCCACCTTGGTCCCTGTGTCCTGGAAGGAGTGATGTAGAAGATGGAGGGCCATGGACTGCATCACTTACCCTTGTGTCCCTATGTGCACACAGAGCTCCCTGGAAGAGCAGCTCCTGTCCCTTTATGTCATCTACACGGTGGGCTACGCACTGTCCTTCTCCGCCTTGGTCATTGCCTCAGCCATCCTCCTCAGCTTCAGGTAAGGGGGTCAGGACCCCAGGAGGGGACTGCTTCATGCTCACTGGCCTGGTAGAGGAGGGGAACTCTAATCCAAAGTGACCATGATGCAGGTCTTTCTCTCCAAAGCTTCTCAGAGAACATGAAGTTGAAAATACAGGCCACAGTGCTGTATACTCAGTCTGCTCTCTGTTGTGTGTAACTGTGTGAGTATAGACTGAAAAAAAAAAAGAAAGAAAAGAAAAGAAAAGAAAACCAAACCACACAGACAGCCTTAACAGTGGATGGTAGGGTTGTGCAAAATCCTGAGAACTCTCTCCAGTGAGTAGGTATAGCTTAAATAGTAAAGAACTCAGTGGATTTTGGAGACCTCAGCGACAAGAGATTGTTCTCTCTTTGAGCTCACCTGCCCCAATGGAAAAGTTCTTCTTTAGGTCTAACCTAGATAATGCATCTCTTCTAGACCAGGAGCTTGGAGCAACCAACTTCCTCCCGCCCTCTCTGGGCTACACCAGGGGAGCTGGGTTCAAGGACAGGGAGCATTCTGAGGGCAGGGGAGCTTGGGACAAAACCAGCAGGAACAGGAAAGGTGGCATTCCTTCTCATGTCCCCAAGGCATGTGGCACAGTTCTGGGCACACAGTCAGTGCTCAATAAATGCATTCACTAGATGAATATTCTCTTTTAACATTAAGCATTTCAGAGATTTCAGTGATGAACGTATGTGCCATCCAGCCTTAGAAGTCAAGCATCCCATACAGTCACACTTCCCTTGTGACTCTGTCCCATCAAGTCCCAACCCCACCAGAGCTAACCCTTGGATGTATATCTTGTAAGTTCCCCCTCATTTCCAAATCCTTTTACTACACTTGTAAATAGCTGTAAAAATGCCCGTCATGGTTTTGTGTATTTTTAACAGCAGGCTGTACATATTCTCCTGTAATTTTTTTTTCTGACATGCTTTTGTGAGATCCACTCACACTGACTGTGTAGAAGTTCTGCTGCGCGAATATTAACTGCAATCCATATTCCATTGTTGTGGCACAGTTTCTTTGTTATCATTTCAATGGTCGCGTGAGGTGATTCCTTTTTTTTCTCTCTGAAATTCAAACCTTGCTGCTGTGGATTTATCAGCCGTGCCCCTGCGCATTTCCCAAGAGCTTAGTGCTAGGGGTAAGAATTGCCCACCGGGAAGCCACCAGTCGCTAGGTTGCTCTCCAAAGTGGTCATTGCCATTTTGCCCTCTCACCAGCAGTGAAAGAGTTCTCTTTGCTTACCATCCTCACCAATAGTTATTTTCAGAATTAAGTGTTGCCAACCAGAAGTATGTGAAATATCTCATTATGATACCGTTTGCATGTCTCTAATTCCTAGAGACACTGAGCAGTTTTTCATGTTGTATTTTATGAATTCCTTGTTCTTATCCTTTGTTTATTTTTATTGGTTTATGTGGCTTTTTCCTGTTTATTTTAGGCATTCAATATTCCAGATACTAATTGGGGATTTACCCTTTCTTAGTCTACGGCATTTCATTTTTGGGAGGAGGGGATGCAATACTGGGGTTTCAACTCAGGGCCATGAACTTGCTAGACAAAACACTCTACCACTTGAGCCACACCTCCAGTTCTTTTTGCTGTAGGTTATTTTTTAGATAAGGTCTCACATTTTTACCCAGGGCCAGCCTTGGACCTTGATTCTCCTACTTAGGCTTTCTGTGTAGCTGGGATCACAGGCGTGCATCACCACACATAGCTGATTTGTTGAGATGGGTTCTTGCCAACTTTTTGCCTAGGCTGTCCTTGAATGTCCATCCTCCTGATCTCCACCTCCCAAGCAGATGGGATCAGAGGTCTGAGCTACCACACCTGGCCATATTCTGTGACTTATTTCTTCACTCTGTGGAGCCTTTTATACATTTTAATTAAATGAAATTGGTTAATTTACCAATTTCTACTGATAAATAAGATTTATCAATAAATGCTATTAACTGGTAAAAATTAATTTTATCAATTGATAAAATGTATGATAATTTTTCAAAGGCCAAATTTCTTTATACTTCTATTTATACAGTCTTTCCTTATCTTAGGGTCACAAAGACAGTCACCTCCATTTTCTTCTAAAAGTTGAAGAGTTTTGCTCTTTCCTTATGGTTCTCTGATCCACCTGGAATTAATTTTTGTGTATGGTGAAGATCAGGGGTTTTGTTTCATTTTACCATAACCACATATAACTGGTCACCTCTGTACCATTGGTGGACAACCCATACCTTCCCTCGTGGTTTGCAATGTCCACTTTCCCATTTTTTTGCAAGGGTCCATGCATTTATAGGTTGGCTTTTGTCACTTATATTCTTTTCCATCAGTCCACAATCTTCCCTGTCCCAAAACCATGGTGCCCCTTCTGCTAAAAATTTATTAGAAATCCTGGTTCTCTCCTGGCCAGTGCTCTTACTTTGTGGTTTTTTAGGAGTCTCTAGACTATTCTTGGCCTTTTAGTTCTTTAAAAGGTTTTAAAGTTTCACAAAGAAAAACGACATGGCATTTTTATCATTATTTCATTGAATTTATTAGTTAATGTAGGGTGAATTAATTAACTCCTTCAAGACAGACTTTCTATTCGTAAGTATGCTATATCTGTGTGCATAATTCATTTAAGACTTTGCTAATGATTTTAATAATATCTTCCATTTTGATTTTACCCATCTTCTGGGTAGACTTATTTCTAGGTAGTCATTTAAAATATTATAAATTAATTATTTTTTTAATTTACTTTTTAACTTCTTTAGTTGTTGGTGGCTGCTGTATATAAATGTATGTGTCAACACTTGCTGAACTCTGTTCTCACAATTTGTCTGTGCATTTACTTGGATTTTCTGTAAAGATATTCTGTCATCTGCAAATAAGAACCACTTTATTTCCCAATTCTTGTCCACTTCTTCCCTTGCCTTATTATAGTGTCTAGGATCTGTGGTACATGTTGAATAGAAATGATTATAGCACACGTCTTTATTTCGTTCCTGATTTTAAAGGAAATGTTCCCATAGTTCCTCAGTTGAGAATGATGTTCACAGTTGGGGGAGTGACTCAGTGGTAGAGTGGTTGCCCGGCTCTTTTGAGGACCTTGATTCAATCCCCAGCACTGAAAAAAAAAAATGATGTTTGCTGCTGGTAGGGTAGATAACCTTCATCAAGTTAAAAAATGCCCTCAGAGTTCCAGTTGCTCCACATGTTCGTTTGAAAGAATATTGACATTGTACCCAAGGCCTTCTGAATGCCTACCTGTACCTGGCCCACCTGCCCCTGTGTGCAGGCCTTTAACACATGGGTTTTGTCATGAGGCAAAACCTCATTGCGGAAACTGATCCTCACACGTATCTTTTTGGTTACACTTGACTGTACGACAGAAGCTGCTGCAGAGAGAAGGAAAGAGTGTGGATAAGAGGAGTACTGAGCACCCAGCTGAGCACTCTATGGAAAGGCAGGACTTGCGTTGGCCAGGATGTTCAAGGTTATGGGGAGAAGGGCGTTCACAGAGAAAGGAAGGAAGACATGAACATAGTCCCAGAGCTGGACACATGCCCCGTGTGTGGGTTAGCCTGAGAGCCAGGGCTGTAAAGCAGAACTGTTAGCCATCTTGCCAGGGAAGGGCCCTGTTTCTCTCCCAGGCACCTGCACTGCACCCGGAACTATATCCACTTGAACTTGTTTGCATCCTTCATCCTTCGAGCACTGTCTGTCTTCATCAAGGACGCTGTCCTCAAGTGGATGTACAGCACAGCTGCCCAGCAGCACCAGTGGGATGGACTCCTCTCCTACCAGGTGTGTGATGCGGCCAGGAGGGGCCTGGGGAAGAGTGGGCAGTCGCTGAAGGCTGCTCATCCTTGGCCCTCAAGGAGCCTCCAGTTTGATGGGAGAGGCAACCTACCTTGGGGAGCTGCCAGTCTGATGGAAGAGACAATTCCACTTGGGCAGTCTGACCCTGCCTCTAAGGGAGGAGACCCTGCTTTAGGGAATTCTCAGTCTGAAGACAGGTAGTACTCTCCAGAGACACCTGAGTTTGAGTCCCAGCTCTGCCACTTACTGGCTGTATAATTTGGGACAAGTCACTTAACTGCTCCAAGGCATGGTTTTTCTCATCTGCATGGGGCTGGTTATTATTACACTTCCTTCCACTCCGGATAGGGAGGAGTCAATGAGCTAAAGCATATGGAGTTCCTAGACTAGCCCTGGCCAGAAGATGTAAGCTCTCTTGTCCTGGATTTTCCATGGTAGGGTAGCAGCTGGAGCAGGACAAAAAGAAGTACTAAGAGAGGCAGGAGGCAGGGCTGCTGTCCCCACCAGACCCTCCCTCTGCCTCCAGGACTCTCTGGGCTGCCGTCTGGTGTTCCTGCTCATGCAGTACTGCGTGGCGGCCAATTACTACTGGCTGCTGGTGGAAGGCGTGTACCTGTACACGCTGCTGGCCTTCTCGGTTTTCTCGGAGCAGCGCATCTTCCGGCTTTATCTGAGCATAGGCTGGGGTAAGACCCAACGTCCTTCTCCTCACCACCCCCCACCAACGACCTGCAGCATGGGAGTGGGGGACCCAGGCCCCCTTCCAACTTGGTACTCAGAACGCACTGCTGGGCCAAGGGACAGAGGCCACTGGATGGTCCCCCTTGGGCGCAAGACACTTGCTGATGGGCTATTAAGACACCTCGAGGGGTTATGGTTACCCATCCATCCCCAAACTCTCCTCTCAATGGAGTCCTCTACCCTCTTCTGGCCAAATACCCACTCCTGCCTGCCACTGCCACCCATGGAGGTCACTGCACTGCCCTTAAATACTCCTGCTCCTGCAGTCCTTTGGGGAAAGAGTTTCACACCCAGTCCAGGGCAGACTAGGCCCTGAGCTAAATGGTGAGTCCTGGGCTTGAAAGCGGGGAGGGGTCAAGAGGGTGGGCAGTGGAGAGGGGCCTTGGGTAGGATGTTCTGTCACGTGAAGATGAAGAGAGAGGCTCAGAGGAGAGCCAAGTTGGGCAGGGTGGGCCCACCAGAGAACAGCCAAGGAAAGGGGTGGACCGCAAATGTGCCTGGAGCCCAGCTGGAAATGTTCTAGCCAAAAAAGTTTGCCAAGAACCATCGAGTCTTTTTTTTTGCTGGAACATTTCTGGTTGTGCTTCTGCCTCTCGTCATGTGGGATTCTGATGAGGGGCAGGGTTGGGGTTCAGCATGGGGCCAGGAGCCCTGCATTCACAGGAAAACAGATGCAATAGCTATCCCCTCCTGAGGGCCCCATGGCACCTACCTGCGGCAGAGCCTGAAAATAGGCCCTGTCCTCCGGCCCTCCCTGATCTGGTTTCTCTTCTTCATGCTGTACCACAGTTCCAGCTTGTCACTCATCCATTCACGCCTCTCATTCCTACATCCTCTACCTTAGGCTGCTCTTGACCCCTGCTGTCCCTGACATCCAGGGACTCCCCGGGTCAGTCACAGCAGACCCCTTCCTCAGCACTCCTTCTTTCCCAGACTGGTCCTGTCTCTAAGCCTTTGCAAGCCTGTCCTTGGCCCAAGAATGTTCTGGAAGGGTCCTCCCCAATTGGGGTTGCCTCAGGCCAATGGGTCTTCCTGGTTCTGTTCTCTAGCCCTCTCAACCCCTGCCCTGTCCTCGTACTGCATTCACTTTTGCTGGTGTTCCTCAGTCCCAGCAGAGAAGAGTAGCTCTAACAAGATTTTAGTGTGACCAGTGTCTTAAGGGCACCAAGATCCAGAGAGGAACAGGGCCTTAGACACAGAGTGGGCCCTGGAGCCTAGGCCCAGTTCCCGGGCCCTGGGCCTCCTGCCTATCTTGCACAGGTCTTGGCCTATGCTCACCCTTTAGTCCCCTGCAGGCCCCATCAGGTGTAGTGGCAAGTGGTCCTGGCTTCTGCACACAGATCCTTGCTTCTCTCCTTCCTTCCCCAGCACTTGCTCTTCCCTGCTTGGCCTTTCCTCCCTTCCTGGGCCTCTTCATTCTGTCAGGCAGTCAGGCAGGCAGGGGCAGCTGGAGAGCCCTACAGGCCCTAGGGGTGGGGGCAATGACAGGCCATAGATGGGGCTGCCTTCAGGGTGGGGACAGTGTCTGTTCATTCTGGGAAATAGCATCAGCACTGTTAGTGCCTGTCACCATAGCGACCTGGGGGCAGAACCAATCAAAGGGACAGAGTCATGTGTGCATAGGAGTAGGGTGACTGGTAGGGGTTGGTGGGAACATACAGTGCTCTGGAGGTCTCTGAATGGGAGATGGGGGAAGGGCTGCCTTCTTTTTTCTACCACCTCATACCCTAGCTCAGGGCTCAGATTCTGTGGCACATGAAGGTGGGAACCAGAGAATACCCTTCCCAGAGCAGAACATCTTTTTCTTGAGGAATTGGGGTGGAGAGGGGCAGGGAGAGGTAGAGGAACATGGAAAGAGAAAGTGAGGGACCAGAGGGTTCTTCTGTGGTGCCAGGAGGCCTGGCCCCAGTTAGGGGACAACTTTTAGCTTCATGTTCAACAGAAGAACCAAAATTAGGATTACAGCAAAGTTAGGGGGGAGTCCCTAAAAGGCATGTTAACTCCTGCTGCAGTCCATGATCAATTGGGTACCCCCAGAAACTGCACAGGAAGGCAGGTGAGTGATGAATGCGGGAACATTGCTTCCCAGAGCCAGTTCTATGTTTCTTGATGTAAGCAGCTTTCCGCCAGCCTGTCTTGGTTTTCTCAATGGCAGAAATGCACATGGCAGGGCCGTGCTTGTGATTTTTACAAAGGCCTCGTTCACAACATGTTAATGAATCTCGCCAGGCTGGTAAAACAAATGAGCTCCCCATACTAGAGTGAGGTCTCAGAGCAAGAGGACGGCAGATGGCCGGGGATGCTCAAGAGGAAGCTTCTGGATGTGTGCATGTGGCTCAGGGAATTGGTGTGTTTTGCCTGGAGACTTCCTTCACTCATTGATACATTGGCTCACTTAGTCATTCATTTATTCCATTCTTACTGAGCATGTTCTGGAGCCCTTGGAGGTCATCCCATTTTTGGTGCAGTCTCATGGAGGCCTGTTTTTACAGAATGCCAAGAGGTCTGGTCTGTGTGGAAACACATGGCCTGGTGACAGAGCACTGATGAAGAATGCTGGCCAGCTGTGAGCTACCTCACTTCTTCCTCCTCTCCCTTCATCGTCAGGCACAGTGCTGCTCAGTAGCTGCTGTTGGGTGGACATCAATGAGTTGAGGATGTTGATGGTGATAGGAAAGGCTATGAAATGGGGTTCTCTCCTGCAAATGTGCCCTGGGAGATACCCCACAAAGCCACACATGCACACACACACCTGTGCCCACATACCTCAATATGTGTACCCTTCTTTACCTCAGACACCCACGCAGCCAACTTGAGAGAGGCATTGGCAGAGAGAAGCAAGGAGAATGTTAGCCTAGAAAGCCATTGAGGGTGATGGGTGGGGAATTGCAGTTCCGGAGTCCAGTCCCACCTATATTCCTGCTCCATCTCCTTATCTGTCATGCAGGGATGGAAAAGCCAATTAAATTAACCAGCACAGGTTGCGCTCTCAGCATGAGGGAGGCCTGGGCTTTCCCTGCAAGGAACTGGAGGCCAGTTGTGTTAGTTATCCATTGCTATAGAACAAATGACGCCAAACTTCAAAACAATTACAGCAATGATTGCTCTGTCAGTTTGGTTGCTTAGGAATCTGAGTTCAACAACAGAGATCTGTCAAGTTGTTGTCCAGGGCTGCCCTCATCCCAAGACTTAACCTAGGGTTGGGCAGGTGGGGGGGTGGTCTATACTTTCAAGGTCACTCACAAGGCCGTTAGCAGGAGATGTCCATTCCTTGCTGCAGGACCTCTCTGTAGGCTGAGTACCCTCATAGCCTTTCCCCAGAGTAAAGGGGGGGGCAGGGAAGAGAGAGAGAGGGAGAGAAAGAGAGAGAAGCTGCAGTCTTTTATAACCTAATCTCAACAGTGACATACCATTACCTCTGCCAGTTGCTATTGGTCACGCAAACCAGTCCTCATCAATGTGGACTACACAAGAGTGTGAGGTGGGGAACCTTGGGAACCATCTAAGAGGCTGTATGTCACACCAGTCAGACTCAGCTGTATTTGTCATCTTTGCATTACTATAATGAAATACCTTACAAAGAGAAAAGATTTATTTAGCTCACATTCTGGAGTTTGCAGTCCAAGATCAGGTGGTCCATTGCTTTGGGCCCCTTGTGGCGGTGTGAGAGGGCAAAGGCAGGGTGACACGGCTGAGTAAACTCGTCATCTCATGACCAGGAAGCAAAAGGGAAATGCTGGACAGGTCAGGATCTCCAAAATCCCTCTTGGGAGTACACCCTCAATGACCTAAGGACCTCCCACCAGGTCCCATCCACTAAAGGTCCCTTCCATTAGCGCCACCCTGAGGACCAAGCCTTTAACACATGGGCCTTTGGGGCTGAGTGGAAAGTCTTGCCAGAGCTGTTATGGTTGGCCACTGTGGATGACTGGTTGCCTGTTAGCATCAAGGACAGGGCTTCTGTGTCTCTTCCAGGCTTCTGCACAGGTTGTGAGTGGGTGCACAGGGTAAGGAAGGAAGAATGGAAGAGGCTTGTAGGCTGATGACACAAGGGAGGACAAGGGCATCCGAAAGTTCTCCTTAGCCAGTATGTCCTCCTGACCATATCATCCTGACCCTCTCTGCTACTTGGATGTTTGTGTCCTGGTGTCTCAGGCAGGACCCTGGGACAAGTCTTGACAGTGTGCCTGGCACACAGGAGGAACTGGACTATGAGGACCTCTCTCTAAGGAAGAGTCCAGGCCATCAGAGTGGGGTTCCTGCCACCTCTGTTCTCCCACCACTTCTTTTCTCCCAAACACCCAGACCAGCCTACAAATGTGGTTTGGGGCCAGGCAAGGACAGGGGCTGGAGATGTGAGGGCCTGGGGTGGGGAGAAGTATCTGGGCCCCGTGGCAGTGGCTTTGACCTGCCAGCGCCTCTCCCCTCTCTTTCTCTCTCTCCTCTTAGGTGTTCCCCTGCTGTTTGTTATCCCCTGGGGCATTGTCAAGTACCTCTATGAGGATGAGGGGTGAGTGTTCTGCTCCAAGGGGCAGAAGTCCCCATTCTCAAAGCCCATGGGACTCTGTGGCCCTGTGGCCCAAGGCTCCTACTTTTTTGGGAGGAGACACCAAAGACCCAGGAGCTGAACATGTGAATTCAGTTGTCAAATTCCCCCTTCCTGTCTCTGTCTCTGTCTGCCCTGGGACAGCATGATGCTGAATGGTACTGAACCTTCGGGGTATGTGGTGCCCTTCCGCAGGCTTTTCTGTAACGTGTGAGTGAAATGTCTTTTTTTGTATATGATGCTGGGCACACACATGACTGTGTTCCTACTTCCATGAGGGGTTGATTGGGGGCCGTCTGTATCTTTCTGTGTGTGACCAAGTACTGCCGGTCACTCAATGTATGTGTGTATGTGTGGCTGTGTAGTTGTAGCGCTCTGTGTGGAGCTGTGGGACTGGTTGTTTCTTGGGTAGCTGAGGTGGCTGTGTGTAGCACTCTGCATGACCAAGTGCATTTGTGTCCCCTGTGCCTGTCACAGGAACTAGGGGCTCCATGAGTCTAACTGGATGCATTGTGTGCCTCTGTCTCCTTCCCCAGTTGCTGGACCAGGAACTCAAACATGAACTACTGGCTTATTATCCGACTGCCCATTCTCTTTGCCATTGGGGTGAGTGATGGTGAGGGTTGGGAATGGGAAGTATGGTGAACCTGGGCTGGGGCCAGGGAAAAGACTGGGGGAGGATGAGAGGGTCCATGCCACCTGCTCATTTGCTCTGCAGGTGAACTTCCTCATCTTCATCCGGGTCATCTGCATTGTGGTGTCCAAACTGAAGGCCAATCTCATGTGCAAGACAGACATCAAATGCAGGTGACCTAAGCAAGCTGGTTCCTTTGGGCCCCTCAGCACTCCCTTCTGACAAAGAAAGATCCTAGGATGCTTAGCTTGGAGCCCTATGTGGCCCTCTTCTCCCACCCAGGCTTGGCTTGGAACCCCTAAGCCTTTCTTTCTTCACCCTGTCCTTGGGCAAGCCCTGGGCTTCTGTGGTCTTGATCTCTGTTCCTTCCCTCTGGGCCACCTGCCCCAGGTATTTGGGGCATCCAGGTCCCAGATGGCAAGAAGCGGATAGGGCACAGAGAGGAGAGGAGTCCATGCTTGAGACCAAGAATGACTCCAGAAGTCTTGTCATGCCGCCCAGGCTTGCCAAGTCTACTCTGACGCTCATCCCTCTGCTGGGAACCCACGAGGTCATCTTTGCCTTTGTGATGGATGAGCATGCCCGGGGCACCCTACGCTTCATCAAACTGTTCACAGAGCTATCCTTCACCTCCTTCCAGGTGACTCACAGATGGCACGGTTGCATGGGACACCCTAGCCTGGGGGAGGGGCAGACACTGACCTGCATCACACGGACAGGAAGAAGAAAGCAGGCTGAGTTTGGGGGTAGTGGACCCTGCTTAGGGCCACATGGCCAGGGCAGAGTCAGAGTTAGTATCCCTTGGTGTCCTGACACATACACAGATAGAACCCAGTTCTGGGGCACTGGGATCTGAGTGGGAAATTTTCATACTCGGGTGTGCTGTGCTCCTTGGGTCTTGCCTCCTCAAAGAGGGGTGTCTGCAGAACATTTGCAGTTTCTGATCAGGGCACCTCTTGCTCCTCAGAAAGGAAATGAGAAGGAACACTTGGGGCTGCCTGATGTGGAGAGAAGGATGTTGGGGCTATAACCCCAAAGCACTTCTAACCAAGGCCTGCCTACCTGCAGGGCACCTCCCTCTTTCCCCCTTCCTGCTAATGTACTTCTCTTTCCAGGGGCTGATGGTGGCCATCTTGTACTGCTTTGTCAACAACGAGGTAAGATCTAAGGAGCGACCGTGGGGACCCTGCTGGGCTGCCACCATTGGGTGGGTGGTGTAGCGCTTTGCAATGGGGACTCCCAGCCGTCTTTATAGCCAAAACCCCACTCATTCCACAGTGGCCTAGAGTTGAGGAGACACCTTGTCTATATATTCTTTTTTTGTGTATTCTCTTTCTCTCTGTCTCTCTCTCTCTCTCTCTCCCTCCCTCCCTCCCTCCCTTCCTCCCTCTCCCTTCCTTTCTCCTTCTCCCTCTCTCTGTTTGCTCTGAATCTCAGTTTCCTCATCTATAAATTAGGGATAACAATATCTACCTATGGGATTCCTGTGAGGATTAAGTAAATAAAATCTGAAAAGGTAGGAAGGGGAGCCAAAAATAAGGCCTATTCCTAGCCAGGCATGGTGCTCAAGCCTTCCTAGTGGGGAAGTTCTTGAGACCCCTATCTCCACCAATGGCTAGGCACAGTGGCATGTACCTGTCAAATAAACTATGCAGGGAAGCATAAATAGAAGGATTGTGGTTGGGCACAGGCATAAAGTGAGATTCTATCTCAAAAATAACCAATACAAAGATGGCTGGCAGAGTGGCTCAAGTGACAGAGTGCCTTCCTAGCAAGTGTGAGGCCCTGAGCTCAAACCCTGGTACCACCAAAAAGAAAAGGCTAGCCCCTCCTCAGGGCCCCACGTGGAAGGCTCCAGCTCCTCAGAGCTGCTTCTTTGGCATGACAAAACATTTTATGGCTGCTCAGTAAGCAATAGCTATCATGTATCTTTCCTGAGCATGAGGCAGGGCGAGAGGCATGGGAGGAGAGCCTTTCCTGTCCCTAAGGCCTCCTCCAGCCTCCTGGAACTGGCTTCCTATGACTTGGGGCATGTGACCTTCAGATCTCTAAAAAGGAGGAAAACTGTGTTTCCTGTGTGCCTACTGAAATAAAGCTGCTCAAGTGTTTTACTACAACCAATCCTGTGCAGCAGGCACTACCCCATTTCACAGATGAGAAAATTAAAGCTCAGCATGGCGAAATGAATAGCTCCGGTCCACCAGCTAGAAGGTGGTAGGACTGCGGACTGGGGGAGGGAGCCCAGGAACGTCTCAGAGCAGCTGGGGCTGCAGAACTGGAGGCAACACCTCATGAAGAGTGAGCTTATATGGTATTCTGGTGTCCTTTGGGCAGGTTTCAGGTGGCCCCGTGCTCTGTTTGGAGGGTAGGTCAGAGCAGGAGGGTGTAGAGGACATTCAGAGGGACCCTGTCCTTGATTGGCAGGAGGCTGCAGGCCAAGGCAGCCTTGGTTCTCTGCCACAGCTGAGTTCTCACAAAGAACGTCTTAGGAACTGAAGCAGAGAATTCTGCAGGGAGGCCTCCCTTCAACAAGAGAACGAGCTCTGTCCCTGAGCTCTGTTCCTGCATATGCTAGCCTGGTAGAGATACATGGACAGGAACAGTGTAGCATGCATCCCTGTGGGAGTGAGGTGACTCTGAGGCTCCCTACTGCCACCTTGTCACTTGGGCTGAGTCCCTGTTTCCCACTTCTCCCTCTGCTGTTCCTAAAGCCACACACTCTTCTGAACCCCAGCTCATCCCCTTCTCCTTACAGCTTTGTGAGGAGGGTGGAATGAGCACACATCACTTTCCACCCTTGGCAAAGAACCTGACCTTGAATCCCCAGAGGTGCACCTCTTTGGCCAGGCCTGGCTATAGGCCCCACTGGCCTCTTCCCTTACGCTCTCCAGGCTGGTGCCATGGGTCCAGGAGATTCTGCTCAGAGGGTGGAGATTCTGCCTTCTTACAGTTCACTGTCAAGTTCCTTTAAACCTACCCCAGAGACTCCTCATACCCTGGCATCTCCAGGCACAAGGACAGACACATCACCACTGGGCCACAGAAGACATACATGGCTCATGGGCTGATGTCTCGATCCACAAAAACTATTCTCCAGACATGGTTGTCATGGAGATGCTAGGTACTTGTGACCTGAGGAGAAAAGATGGCCTAAGCATTGGTCTCATGTGGCTGTCAAGACCTGCACCAGCTGCTGGTGGGCAGGGGAGGAGAGGGGAGGCCTGGAGATGGGTTTGCTATAGCTCATGTGTGAGGGACCCAGTGCAAATCACTGCCTCCTTTGTCTCTTCTCCCCGGATGTAAATGGAAGTGAGCGAGTTTTACCAACTCACCCCAGTTCCCAAGCCTGGAATGGTGCCTGGACAGAAAGGGTGCTTAGAACCCTTTGCTGAACTGCAGAGCTCAGAAGCCACACAGGAGGTGAAATCAGAGCATGAGGGAGACATGCTGGGTTAGGGGTCCAGAATCCATGCCATTGTCTTTGTTTCATTTTCATTACTGAGTAATAGAAGGACCCAATGTTAGATGCCCGTTCATTTGACTTATTTAAACACACATAGTGAGTACCCACTGTACTCAGTACAGTGCTCAAGTACAGGGATGCTGAGAGGACAACAGTGAGACCCTGGCCTCCAGGAGTTTCCTGCCAAGTGGGGAGGAGACATGGCCATGTACAAGCAGGACTGAAGAGCTGTTGCAAGCAGGAGGTCAGCAGTTAGGAGCTGGGTATTGGAGACAGGTTGGATCTAAGCTCAAATCCTGGCCAAGCCCTGGGGGAAATAACTTAAGTACTCTTGCACCTTTGTTTACTCACCTCTATGAGGTGGTGGTGGGGCAATAGCAGGAGCTACTTTACAGGGCTGGTGACAAAGGTAACTAAGAAAATCTAGGGTGTATAAATAGTGGTTTTTAAAGACAGTTGTGGTTACAGGGCTGCCGTGCAGGTTCAGAAACAGTGCTGAAGGAAATGGGCATGTGCCTACACTCCAAATCCTCCTGGTGGCCCTATGATCTCTCACTCTCTGAGGTGGCTTCCCATGGGTGTGCCTCAGTTTACCATCTTTCTCCCCTTCCCCAGTGGAAGGTTGTGAGAAAAGACTGGCCATCCTGCAGCTGCACAAAGAGAGGTCACCATCTGTCTCAGAGTTCCCATCCCAGCTGCCAGCACACACTGCACACAAGCTGAGCTGGGCAGGGAGCTGGCCATAGGTAGTGTCTGCTCCACCTCCTTCCCTCCCTCACCCAGGCCTGGGCTTCGTGACGCTGCCTGGGATAGCAGGCTGTCCTGGCAGGCAGGCTCTGGGCGATCTCAGCTGTACTCAGCACAGAAGTTCTTTTAAGGGATGGCATGCAGCCACGCCAGGCGTCTTGCTTGCCTTAGCTAGATGGATGACAAAGAGGGAGGAGAGGAGGGTTGTTTGCATAGGGCTGGTGGGGAGATTGGCAAAAAGCCCCTCACCCACAACTGCTGGCAGCTGGCTGTCCTGGTGACTTGGGCTTGAGAGAAGTCTCAGACACGCCTATGAGGCAAGGCTGGGAGCAAGAATAGAGACATCAAAGAAGTTCTGGACAACAAACTTATAGGAATGATGCCCAGAAGTCCAGACCCCTCGGGAATGGCTGAGAAGCTTCCAGCAGCCCTCTCTGGGAACTAGTCACAGAATCATGATGGGGCCACACCACTACCATAAGCTCTTGAGGGGTTGGGGCTCCTCAATGCTCTTTGGTTTGTATCTTTCTGCCCCAGGATGCTGGTCCCAGAGCATCAGTTCTCTTGAGAGGCCCCAGCTCAACCCAACAGGGATTCTGGCTGTCTGGGCTCACCTGGGCTGGCTTCCCCTCCCATGCTCACCATGAAGTGCATTTGTTTAAACCCAGGCTGGGAAGCTCTGTGCTGCCGCTTGTCTCGGCCTCCTTGCTGTCTTCATTCCCTCCTCCCTGGTGAGGTGTGGGGGGATGAAAACCCTTAAGGTGTTTAGCTGGTGTGGGGATTAGGGGTGTGCCAACCCCTGTCAGTCATCCAAGCTGCATTCAGAGGGTGTGATCCCTCTCCCCTCCAATTCTCTCTCCCGTCCATCTCCCTGTATTTTTCTCTTGCTCTCATTCTCTTCTGTGAAATAATACTGTGATGGATTGTAAAAGGTACTTAGCTGAATCACAGAGTTTAGAGATGGAAAAGACCAATTAGGTCATCAAACCCATCTCTCTCCTGAGGAGAGGCAGAAAATAGGAGACGACAATAAACAATTTTATTGGGATATTAATTTAGGCGCCCGAAGGCCTTGACTTGTGTCTCTTAATATAATGCAGTGGATTTTTCCCCTTCCCCACTAATGTAATAATGGGGCCATTTTGCGGCAGTCAGTTTGCATGATGGCTTTTGTTTCTCTTCTTTTCCCACGGAAGGTCCAGATGGAGTTTCGGAAGAGCTGGGAGCGCTGGCGACTGGAGCATTTGCATATCCAGAGGGACAGCAGCATGAAGCCCCTCAAATGTCCCACCAGCAGCCTGAGCAGTGGGGGCACAGTGGGTAGTAGTGTGTATGCAGCCACCTGCCAGGCCTCTTGTAGCTGAGCCCCTAGCACCACCCTTCCTGTGGTCCTTGCTGCTGGCTAGGTGGCCATCCCAGGTGGGAAGAGACCCTCCCAGGGACAAGGGAGGCAAGGGACACATGCACACCTACATCTCTGCTTTTCCTCCCAAACCTATCAGACAGGCAAATGGGCAGTGCCCCCGGCGGCCATGGACACATTTTCTCCGAGGAGAAGCAGCCTGCTAATTTGATCATTGTGGCAGAAGGAGAGGAAAAATGATTGCTGCTAAAATGAGGAGGATTTCTTCCTGTTAAGTCACAAGGCCCTTGGGGTTCCCCCAGACAGAGCAGCAAATCAACTCCAGACTCAAACTCAAGGTCAATGGCTTATTAGTGGGATTAGGGCCTGTAGGAGGAAGTGGTTCTGCAAGAGGCCAGTATAACCTCAGCCAAATATAACTTGGCAATGGAAGCCAACTCTTCCCATATCCAGTTAGGGTCACCACCCTTATCTGCGTCCTCATTAAGGGAAGCTCTTTGTGCATCTGTGTTGCTTGTTTCCCTCATCTGCCTCTTTATCTCATCACCCAGTTCCTCTCAGGAAATTTGTTTGGGTCACCAGCAGTGACCAAATAGCTGGAAATAGCTGTGAGTGGTGTCAAGAATAAGCACTGAGAAGATGCCTGAAGATTTCCTTGGCTAGTGCCCACTTCTTCCCTGGCTACTTAGAGTTGTTTTCCTGTCTGCTTCTGCCATGCCCAGCAAACCAGGGCAAGCCTACTGCTGAGAAGCACAGTCCTGGGGTAGAAGATCTCAATTCTGTTCTACAAATGCTCAAGGATCCTCTGAGGTTCATCTAGGGACACTTAAGAAATGTCCCCACTGTGGGTATAGAGTACCTGCCACTGCTGGGGATCCAGAGAGTCACTGCCTCCACCTCTCCATGGAAGTGCTTTTTATCTGTGGCCAGATTCTGTATCCTGAATGAATCTGATTTCAGGGGATGTGACTCTCCAAGTGAAACCAACAGTTCCCATCATCACTGTGAAGGCAGGCCCCCTACCTTTGAAATTCCCCCTACTTGGGAGCTTGTATATACTTTATTCTTTTTTCTTTATTGCTATGAATAGTCTGTATGTGCAAATGTGCAATTCTGATTTCTCCCACATGATCAAAACAAAAACTAAATCATGGTTGCTGTGATGATTTTGGAGGGAGTGGGGTAGTGATTAATTTGACTCACCCACACTTTCAGCTAATTAATGTTTACCCTGCCTCCACCCTCATCCCATAAATAATAGCAGAAAGGCTGGATGGGGAAAATCTATCGGTCTTGACCCCAGTGGTGGTGAGAAGACAGACAAGTAGCAGCACTTCAGAGACCCAGACAAAAGGAGGACAACTATGGGGGTAGGGGGGCAATGAGTCATGGAAGCTGAGGAAGTTTCCAGGGCAGGGGAGAACTCCTGGGAGTGCTGACCGCCTGTGAGGGCTTCAGATGGATCCCCTTGTGAGCCATCTCTCCCTTCTCCTCCTGTTTAAATGGTGAGGGGCCCCTCCTCCCAATGCTTTCACCAGACACATTCTCCTGTGACCCTCAGAGAGCCATGTGGTGTGCAGGTGAAATAATGGCACATAAAACCCTCCAAGCAGAAAATTTCTTATACTTCAGTTTCAGTGAAGTGCTGTGCCTGTGTTAATAGGGAACTGGAACCTCAGGCTAAAGAAGGGAACTGTGCAGCCAGTGTGCCTCTTTGACTAAGGCAATGGGGCAGGAGTGGGGGCAGGGAAGGCTTTCTGCTCCCCCAGAACCAGGACAGGTTTCCCACGAGGCACCACTTCTTGCTTTCTCTTTGGGAGCAGTGGGGAGATGCGCACCAGAGGGTTGGTGTGGGGTACAGCTCTGGCACAAGTATTTCAAGTTTTGGATAAACTGGAAGGTTTTGAGAATTGTTATTACACAAAAGCAAAAAAAATGCAAATCAATATAATTACCTGAAATAAATTGTCAGGGAGAAAGATTGTGGGGAAGAAAGTGCTAATAGTTGGGTGCCAGGAAAACTTAAGACAATTTGGTTTAAATTGTAGAGTTCTTTTCCCAACTGGAACTGCTGATTTTTGACTTGGGGAGGCTCATCAGAACCTCACACCCCAAAACTTTTTGGAAGTTTCTCCTTTACAGATACGTAACAGATATCGACCTGAAGAAATCTTTTCCTTGTTTCAGTGCAGTAGTTGTTCCTGTAGTATTAATATTCATTTGAATGGCACTGCACTCCCTCTGAGTTGTTCCCAAACTTGCCTAAGCTAAATATAGCTTCCACAGTCTGGGAACCATCGACTGCAGTGTACTCAGTGTAAACACTAGCTGTTTACATGCCTAATGCCATAAGTCTAAGTCTGGTACTTGCTGAGAACCGTCTTGCCCGCCCCTGTCCTGGGGGCACTGTAGCTGGCCAGAAGGGTGTAGGCGCTGGCTTTGTTTGAGCTATGCAGCCAGGGAGGTCTGAGGGCTGGTGTGAATGGCAGCTGACTTCAGCACTCTGGCCAGCTCCCTGGAAATCAGTAGGGGCTCAAATTCCTGTCAACTCCCCTTGGTCATTTCAGTCTTTGAGCTGCTGAATCACAGAACTGCACAAATCACTTACAGTGCAAAGTTGCCATCTCCTTAAAACGACTTTCTGGGTTGTGGGCATGATTTTGATCGCCTCAATGTACTTCACACTGAAGACCACATTAGTGGAGTTCTGGGAGACCAAGGGCAGGAAAGATCTTAGCAGTCCCTCCTGGCCTCATCTACAGAAGTGAGGAGTAATGCTTACAGGGAGACTAGCCTGAGGCCATAGCACTAGCCTTCCAGTCCAGTGAGGTCTCTGGGAAGGACAGATGGAAATAAATGGCCATTCAAGACATGCTAAATAAAAGTCAGTAGTATTACCTGGACTTTCTATTGCACAGAAAACTGAACAAGTCAGATGGTGAAAGTGTCACACCTTGGTAATTTACACTGGCGAAAGGAGGGAGGAGTGTGCTTTACATCTATTCTAGTGCCTCACTCATCCTTGTCTTAAAATTAGGAAATGCATTGGAGCACACATATACATAGAACAGCATGCAAGCTATTTGGGATAACAAATCCATACTCTTAGTGGGTTGGCTTAATTTTTTCTGGTGTATCTGTGTTCGTTTGAAAAGTTGGTCTTAGAGCCACAAGGAGTGTTCTAAAAGAAGGTCTTGAACCTCCCCTTTTGCCTTTCTAGTGTTCCTTGAATTTGGAGAAAACTGGCAAACTGGACAACTGTAACCCTGCAAAGATAGCACAGTGCCATGAATAGCAAATAGAATCGATTTACATCTATGCACTGACAGACTCAGTTACCCTCATCAGTGCTGGCCATATCTCAGCAGCTCATGGCTAGATTACCCCTCTCTATTCCCTCTCTTGTCTTTCTTCCACAAGGAAAGAACATCATGTGTGTGCACGTGTTTGTCCTGTGCATTCCACCATAAAGTTAGAACATGATGATCCCAGAATCATCACTCCTACTGTGAAGGTCATGGGGTTGCACAGCCCAGGGCGAGGATGGCTGGTAGTCTAAGTAGTAGATGCTTCTGCTCCATGCGCAGACAGGGCTCCCATTATTGCTAATGCCTGCGACGTGCTCAGGGAAGACAAAATATATTCCAAAGGTTTATTTTCCTTCCACTGAATTGATTCTAATCTACAGTGCTGACCTCGCTTCTGGCTCCTAGGAGGCAAACTCTATAAAAAAAAAAATTCCTCAAATAAAATATGTAGGCTCACCCTACTAAGACAGCAATGTGAATGACATGCTAAGTGTTCAGCAGAAACCAAATTAGCATCAATTCTTAACTTTTTTTTCTTTGACTGGAGTGAGTTCCCTTGGGGAAAAAAAATGGCCCAGTGTGAGAAATTTCTGGCCACCTTATTATGTCCCTACACTGTTGCCTGCTGGCCCAAACCAGTCCTCTGACTTAATGGAGAGTCACATCAAGAGGTGTTGTTAAGCAATCTAATTTCAAACACTTGACTTTAAGCCACAGTGTATCTACAGTAGCTATAATTATTTCTGCTTTGTCAATGGACACAGACTGGCAGGAGGCAGATAAGCATAATTGTTTTCCAATAACTCTCTCTTGTATTTTGCCTACATCTGATTCTCAGAGGAGAGCAGTTTCTCTCCTCTTCTTTCACCATTTTCACTGTTTTAGGGACCTTATCTAGCAGTGGCTGTGCTTTTCCCTTGTGTATTCAAACTCCCTCCCCACACTCCTCCCTATCCCAGCTGCCTCGGTCAGAGGTGACTGTGCTAGCTGTCCTACTAATGACATTCTCTCAGCTGTGACCAATTTAGGGGTGCAGTTAAGAGCAAGGTGCTGAAATGATGCAGTACATTCTGCACTGGCTTAGAGAAGGGCCTTGCAGCCAGCAGCTTGAATCCTGAGTTAACCAGAGGATATGGAACCTCCCTGAGGAACCTGTCAAACTATCAATACTTGGTATTCCCAACAATCTAGCAGGACTCATTACCACTGTGTCAAAGCGATCTGGGAGAAGAAAGACACACATACATAAGGATGTGGTGAGAAAAGAGTTCCCACCACAGTTTGAACCATATAACCATTTCAGTTCTTGATTTCTTTGCCCAGGATCCTTGGATGTGATTCGGGTAAGGGTGGAATTTTTCTTGCCAAACAGTTCACATTTTACTTCCAAACCTGCAGGTTAAGCTGCTCAAACTAAAAATAATCATATCCTCAAAGCAGATAAACTTCATTGTCTATCCCATTGGTTTAGGAGGGATTTGAGGCAGATCTTTAAATGAGCACACCTAGAGGTAGGTAAGCAAGCTCTCATGAGGGACAAAATTAGATTTCTGTCTTCAGTGCTCGTGGGAGATGTTTGCACTTCATGAATGTTTAAACAAGGTCATTTTCATGCAATTTCTTAATGTATGAATCATGTGAAATATGGTCTACACCCGTACGTAGCGCGTGTGTATGGTGTATAATTCCTTGT